TTTTTTTTTACAACATTTTGTAAACAATATATCTTAACAATATATCTTTTGTAACAATATCATTTAGATTTACAGTGATATTTTTTTCTTAACAGTGATGTTCAAATTAAATTTTTTGAATTTGTAAAACTTAATAAATTAACATTAATTTCGTAAAAATAAATAATTTATTTTAAAAAATTTTGAAGATTGAATTGTTGTGAAGAAAACATAATAAAACGATAGAATATTAAAAAAAGAAATCTTAAAATAGGATTAAAAAGGAGATAACTATAATGCATTGTAAGAAATATATGCATTGTAAAGAAAAGAACTTCATATCTACATTTTACGACAGAATAGACGAACGAAGAAGTTTTGTAAATTAAATGCTTATATTTATATTGTCAAAAGTTTAATTTATTATATTTTTTTTAGGATTTTTAAAGATTATTTATAAATCTTAAAAATATGAAAAACTTTAACTGCTTTAAAAGATGCATAGGCTATAATATTCTAACGAATAAAATATATATATCTATAAACGAATAAGAAACATATCGAAAATAATGATTAATAAAAACAAAAATTTAAAAAATCTAAAAAATTGCAATTATAAACAAAACGAATTTAATTTATGAACACCACTGCTTTACAAAATTAAATAAATTTAAATATAAACAGTTTAATTTTAATTTTAATTAGAAATATGTTGCTATATATATAATTATTATATATAACAAATAATAAATGATGAAATTCTTCTATAAACTCTTGTACAACGTTTATTCACTTACTTTGAAGATTGTGTAGAGTTAGCATCGTTTTTCTTGTGAGGAAAATGTAAACCAGGCGTATTTCCCTGAAACTCGTGTCAGATTAGAATGATTAAAATAACAAAGACAACACATGCACTACGGAAGCCTGAAAACATTCAAAAGTATAAACAACAGAAAATAAAGTGAAATTTAAAGCAACTATGTCTATCTACTAAAAAGATACTAATAGAAATTAATAGAAATTTAATAGAAATAATAATAAAAATTCACGTGAACTATTTGTTCTACAAACATCTATTATTAATATATTTACATCTATTTTACATAAGATTCCAACTATAAATAATTTCTACGAATAAATTCCAAAAATTTCGATTGTACTAATTTTATAACAAAAACCATACAAATGCTATTAGAAAAGACCAATATATATAATGCATTTTAGATGCAACAGTTACAGTTCTATTAAAGCATTGTAATATAATATCTACAGTATTTTATGAAACGATATAAAAGAGCTGTTTCTTAAAATATTGCAACTTTATTTCTATTTTCTTAATTTTTCTTTTTTTTAATTTTAAAAATATGTTAAATAAAAAGTTTAAATATAAAAAAATAAATATTTTTATATTCGTATATCATTTATGTATAGTTTTGATCCATAATAATCTTCTAATTAGAAATAATTTATTATTTTATCTCTTTTTTTGAAATTGCTTGCAAAATGAGAGATCGAGTGAGAGATCTATAAAAAGGAGAAACCATAAATTTTTACATTCGGAATCATTTAATGATAGAAATGTCAGATTATTTTTTTCGTAACTTTAAATTTTTTTTTTAATAATAATTTTTTATTAAATAATATTGTTCAGAATTATTATTTTCTTCCTATATTATCCCATTTAAGAACAAAATCAAGCTAAATAATATATAGCTTCGAATTATTTATTTTGGAGCAAAACTATATAATCATTGCTGAAAGAATTTTTCATAAACATTCTCGTTTATATGTTTCATTTGTGAATACAGATGGCCCTAGTTTAAAAGCACTAATTTTTTACGTAGAGAATGTGCATATATATTATATGTATTCTTACAATAAAATAAATATATAAAATTAAATAGATAATTAATATAATTAAGCAAAATATAAGAAAAAGAAAATACGTATGTGATACATAATGAATTTAATGAAAATATTATGTAGATATAACTTATTGGTTTATTATTTATTAATATTATAATAATTCCGAAATTTGTCAGAAGGAAAATTCATATATAATTTGAATCTTTCAATTGTTTAAGGGCCAGCTGCATAATACACACTAATAATACAGAACAAAAAGCCAAACGCTACGCTTTGGTTCACTGAATTTTCAAACTGAATAATAATTTAATGATTTAATTATTATTAATAAATATATATTCTTTAATAAAATATGGTAAAAAAAACTCTAAATAATTCAGTGTACCATATAATGAAAGTTTGTTATAGCGATTAATATATCTACCTTTTCTACTCTGTTGTGTAACTTTTGCAGAACATCTTCACATCGCTGCAACGTCTCGATCTTCAGCCTATTTCATCGATAACATAATATGATTAATTGTTTCACATTTTTTTTTCTATTTTTATACATAATTGAAAGAATAATGAAATGAAAAAATTAAATGAAAGATATATTTCACAGTATACGATAAAATATAATAAATTACCATATGAAAATAAGAAAAAATGTAAATTAATAAAAATAAAATTGAAAATTTGTAAATAAAATTTAAATAGCAAAAATTAATAATAATAATAATTAATAAAAATTAATTTTTTATTTCGTATTTTAATTTTTTTATGTCAATGCATTTAATATCATCAAATGTTATGATGACTAAAAGAAACTCTTTTATTTTATATATGTCTAAACATCTGCAAAACATACTTTCTTTTGCTGTTTGATAAGATCCCGTGTAGACTTTGCATTTTCTGCAGTTGTACTTCTCGCGATTTATCCTTAACGTTTTGCAATCGCTCTATCATCGCTTCCAAAAACGGAATGTATTTTTGCATTTCAGCAAATTTCTTATCATACTCGTCCATCTCGCTTGTCGTATATCGCTCACCTGTACCGAGAGAAGAAAATCTTTATACTTACAAATATCTCTCGATTATCAAACATTATATCATTTGTTTCTTCTATATTTTCTTACTAATTTTGATAATATTTTTTTCATGTTATTCTATGATTTCTTTTTATTTTTATTTCATTCTTCTATTTGTTTCAACAATCAAAATTATTCAAATTTAAAGTTTCATTAATAATTCGAAGATTTATATCGCTTAACACTGTAGTTAGCCGTCAAATTTAACTGTGAACAAACTAAGTTCTGATTTATTATGTATTATGTATTTAACATATATTATACATACATATATTATGTATTTAACATATATTTCAGTAATTCAAATTTTTATATTTTTGACAATTTAATAAAAAAAAATACATTTAAACAAAACATTATATAACATATTAACATAATAAATTATCAAAATATCATAACATATTTAAATAAAGATTAGTTTAAAACATGATCTTCTTTAGTTTAATAAATATTTTTTAATAGAAATCGTTTGTGATAATTTTTAAATCATTTAACTTTATCTGATTTCACTCATAGTATCTATATTTTTTTAGCATTTTAAATTGATCCATTATATAACATTATACTTTCTTGTTACAAATTAATACTTATTCTATATTAAACAAAAATATAAGACCTCAAATTGAATAATCCATTCATTTAGATTCGAATATTAATTTGATATTATTTTTTACATAATTAAAATATTATTTGTATTATTTCGAAATATTATTCGCTATTATTTTTATTTAACTCGTTATTCATAGACATCCTTATAATGAATGACACATTGTATAAAATGCATATGTATATGTAAAGAAAAAAATATTATTATTCATATATATTATTTATTCTATATATATATATATTTATATATAAAAAATATTATTTATGTAAATATTATAACATATAAGATATAATACTAATTGATTAATTATCAAATTTAAATAATGGTGTTTAATTAACCGATCATCACATTACTTTAGTGATAATTAAACTCTCTGGAAATATAGTAATTTCAATATCATATATCAAATAACTATTTCATATTAAATTATTTCACTTTTTGAATTTTTTTTTGAATATATTTTTTACATAATTTATATAATCATCAATAATAAAGAAACACGTGATTATTTTTTCAATCGGAAAATTCTTTCATTTTTTTTTTAATTTTATCAAAAATTTTTTTTAGAAATTGTGCAATATATAAGCATGTGAATAGAAAACGATTTACGATTAAAAAAATACACATCATGAATTCTATAATTTTTACGCTTATTAATTGCAACGCACATGCGTATTAAGCACCTTGCACATTTTATCTTTTAAGTAAAAAAATTTCAAAATTCAAATATTTAATAATTAATGCTATTTTTTTATATAACACTATTTTTATATAATATTACTAATATTAAAAGTATTTAAATTATTAAGAAAAATATTTGAAAATTTGGTGACAAGAATCACAACTAAAAATAGTTGACGAATAAATGTATTGCACTTACATATTTTATTGAATTTTATTGAATTTTTCAAATATATGAAAAATATGAATCGAATTCGAATTATTCACTGGAAATAAATTATACCGAAATGAAAAACTTAATCAGCTTATTTTCAAAGGAATAACTTCCTAGTAACGATTGTATGATAGAACTTATTTTAAATAATTATTAATATAGTTTGTACATACCGATTGATTTTTATGATTTTATAATTTTATTTTATCGTAAACTTGAACGCATATTTATGACGAACTTAACAGGACAAGAAAAAAGCATATCTAAGAAACGTTTCCCTCGTTACATTTTATCCAATATACGTAGTTTCATCATCTTGAGAAAGAGAGAGGAAGTAGATGGAAGCACAATCAAAAAGATTTGAAATCATAGATAGCAGTGCAGTAGCAAATATGGCGACCAAACGATATTATACAATATTGTTCAGTATAATTCTACCGAACTTAAAATTTTTAAAGATAAATTATTAAAGATTATAATAATATTTTATAATGATAAAATAACTAGAATAATAATTGGATAGAAATAATTTTACATGATTATAAGATTGAAGATTGCAAAGTGTTTCATTATATCGGTAACTTAATACATGATCGTATTTATGAAAATGGTTCTCAGAAGAATATGATTCAGATATAAAATATCTGATTGGATTTTATTATTTAAATATATATTAATATAATATTATATTCAATGAGTATATATAATTATTACATATTACATATTATATATAAATTAGAAATAATATTAACGGAAATGCTTCTGCTTAGGAGAACATCACTAACAATGTCATTGTTACTATAGAATACTAGTGATAACTAGAAATACAATATTTGTATTTAAATGAAATAAATATATAAAAAGATATATGTAAATTTTTTGATATTCAATTAAATGTTTCCAATTATATAATGCAATTAAATAATATAATATTTGAACAATAATTATAATAATTATAATATATAATATATAATATAATATCAAGTTATTAGATATATATAAGCAAAAATTAGTATATTTTTAAAATCTGTTATGGAAGATTATTTAAATACAGTTTATATATCTAAAATGATTTTTAATCAAATGAATTTTTTTATATTAAATTTTACATTTTTATAAAAATCTATATAACTTGAATGTCGAATGTTCTCACAAGATGTAGATAATTTACATTCGACCGTTCTCTTTCTCATTGCTTCTCTGTCTTTATTTTCTTTTTTTTCTCTTTCACTTTTCTTCGACATTAACTTCACAAATGACAAATTATACAATATATATTTTTGATTATAATTTTTTTTATATAATTATTTTTTGCTTAAAAAACTTTTAATTTGTAAATATTAAAAATTTACTATTTAAATATTTTTTTATATGAAATACTTTGTATCATATGAAATAAAGAATATGACTGCATTCAATAATGGCCATATTATTTGTTAAAACAAAAAATGCAACAATTTTCTAAGAACCTTTTTCCATTCCACCAAGATTACGATTCACATATTTCTTAACATAAATAACAGATAAATATCCTATTTCTTACCAAAAAATAAATTTTTTTATCTACGACGACACACCTGATAAAACATTACACAGCAGAATATCGCCGTATGCATTGATCTTCTCTCGCCGTTTGCCCGATCCTGCGTCCTGAAATCTCGACACAGCAACTCAACCGAAGAAAGGTGTGAAATACTGAGATCCCGCCGTTAATGCACGTATACGTGCACGCACTGCATGGAATTGCTTAACTCTTTCACAATGTCGTAGTTACGTTGGAACTGACACTTTTTTTCAAGTTCTGCAGCGCGCTCTATAATTCTGCATCACAAGCTAGAGAACTATACTATTACGATGAATATTTAAGCATCAAAAGTACTGATTTGACGTACCAAAAGTTTAATTATTCAATAAAACGTCACTTCCTACAATGCACGCACAAGACACATTTATCTTATGTCCACCTTTCAACATTCCTGAAAAAGTATACCCATGTCAATTTTCAGAATCGCATATACAAGTACCTCTAAATCGTCACTTTCCATATATATCTATTATTTAAATTATAATCACGATCCTGCTTTCAATAATTTCATATTAAATTATATTACAATTCTCTGAATACGAAGTTCATTTTAATTTATTTAAGTTTCCTAACACCGAAGTTTCCCGAAAGTTATTACACTTTGAAGTCCTACTACGAGACTTCGAATAAGCGCTGTTTTTCGGTCTTCAATAATGCGTGGTGGTTCATCATTCATTTCTGAATATATATACACATCGCAAAGATGACAGCAGATATATGAACACGCAATTATTTTTCTATGTATCATAGATTAACGACATCATTACAAAAGAATTTTTTTTAAAATATAAAGAAAATTTCCTTAAAATATTAGAAAATATTCTTCTCCAGAAAATATTTCTTTATAATTTCAATCACACTATCTATCAAAGAAACAAACGAAATGACAACCCTGAAGGGCGCACGATATACGTACAATGGCTGCCATTAATGGCTGCACTAAGCTAAATGATTTCACGTGGTTTTGTCAATATTCCGCCATATGTTACTTACCTTTTATCACGTCCACATATTTATGATAGAAATTTAATATCTGTTTCTTTTCCTTTTCTTTCTTTAAGGAAATTATTGAACTAATGAAATAATACATTTAATAATTTTAATAAAATAATAAAGTTGATTTTATTATTTTATCGAATTAATTTCATATTGAGCACAACACTATCAATTACATATCTCACAAGGAATAAATAATTTCTAATAATAATTAATAATAATATTATATTTTGAAATTTTAAAGATAAATAAATATCGCACAAATGTAATATAATTCTTTTAACAATACATCTATTCATACCTACGACCTAAAATGATAAAATAGAAAACAAAAATCAAACATACATTTCTGTGTATGCATTTATTGTGTAAAGATTATTTTTAAAACAGGATTTGTGGAGTAAAAAACTTTTTCTAAATAAAAAATTTGATACAAGTATTTTAATTATTTATCTAATAATTCAAGATTTCACCAAAAATCGATGTTCCAGAATTAATTGAAAATTTAATTATGCCACCTTTTATATGTTTTGATGATTTATATATCCAATAATCTTATATTTCAGAGGACAAGAAAGTACCTCCAACTATAAAGATCCGCCATTTATAACTCGTAAGTATTCATTTCTTCTAATATCCACTTGGTTCGAGAATTCTCGATTGAGAAACGAGTTTAGACGGAAACACCCGAAGTTTATACATCAAATTCGATTATTCCCTTGTTCGTATAGATCCAATTATAATTATACAATTATTAATATACAATTATTAATATAAATATAAAAACATCTTATTAAATAAAACATTATTTTCATTAAAAAGAATATAATATCATTAAAAAAATATTCTATAAAAAATATTTATATTTATATAAAATCATAAGTTATATTGTTCATTCGTGACAAAAATGACGTGAAAAAAAAAATACATAGCAACAAAAAATAAAAAATTAATTTACTCTAATATATAAGTTTAAATTAAATTTAAAATATAAAAATAATTATTGCATATGTAAAATATTAAGGTTTCAATTAATATCTTACAATAAAATACACCATGAAAATGTTAGATTTTAGTTATTACTATATTGATTTTAATTCATTTCAGTAAATAAATGAAATGACTAAATTACAATTATAGTTCTTTGTATTTATTTGTGACGTTTTCCTCGATTTCATATAATGTAATATTTAATAACTTTATTTACAAATTATCAGCTCAATTAATGAACTAATAAACTTTAGTTTGCATAGGATTTGATTATTTACAAAAATTTTTGAATTATGGAACAATCTTCCAATTCATGAATTCATGGGACAAAATTCTTTTTCACAATATTATAATCAATAAAGCGCCAAACACTATTACCTTTCCTTTTATTTTTAAAAAAGTGAATTAAAAGTTCTTTACAATTTTGTAAGAAACATTTTCCACCAAGGTGGTCAAGCATTACTATTTTTATAAATGAATCTAATGTAAATGCAATTTCCTTCATGAAGAACATTTCATTTAAATTGTTCTTGTTATATTTATATGTTTTTTATATAGATCTCAATTATAATAGCCTCTTTTAAGGCAACAATGTTGTCTGCAAGTGATATTTGAGAACAAATGTCACTGTCTAATTCTTTTTTTTGGTACTTAATAACACTAATATGTTGTTGGCAGTACATGTAATTACATTCCCGGTAAATAATTTCCAATAGTTTTGGTTTTATAGCACAGTTTTGCATAATTATGCACATATTATGTAAGTCTAAACATGAACTGACATTGATTGAATAATTAAAAATTAAATCTGAACATTACGCATTTTTTGTATCGAAAAACATTCGAACAATAGAAATATTAAAAATTAGATTTTTAATCATACTGAATAATACAATATATTACATATTTCGCTAAATTTTTTTTGTTTTAATTAAATGAGAATTATATGCTTAGCCTCGAAAAGTTTTATCGCATTTTCCACGAGTTATATAATTGCCTGCAGCACAGCTACAATATACTTTATGAAATTCTTACATTACTCTTCAAAATTTGTTTTCTAATATTGTTGTTTTATATAAACTCAGTAGTTTCTGTCAATTATTTTTGTAATCAACATTTAGTGTACAATTACATGATTGCACGATAAATTTTCATAAATACATTCATGATTATTGAAGACATTCTTAATTATGAAGCACTCATTTCAATAAAAAATCATATAAATATTTTTACGAAATTCCGAAAAAACTTTAAATTAAGTAAAAAGACGGAATAAGTATATTCAAATATGGAAATTAATTTTATTAAATAGTGTATTGTAAAACAAGATATAGATTTAACAGAAAAGTTCAGAAATACTATAATTCAATGAAATTATGTAAAATGTTACTTTATATATTCGAACACAAAATTAAATTTAAAAAAATATTTCTTGATCATTAACACCATGTCAGATTTTTTTAATGTCCTTATTGAGTTCAAGAATATTAAAAAGTATATAAATAGAATTCATTCTTAAATTAGAGGAAAATGCAATTTCGTACAACTGACGAGACCTCGATTGATTAATTATCATTAACCAAATAACAAATTAGATCAAAAGAAATAAAAAAAAAAAAAAAGAACAAATTTCTGTATTATTATTGCTATATGTCAAATATAAATATGATTGTACGAAAAATGTAATCACAAAAATAACGAGTTAATTACGAAGCAAACACACAATTGGCAGCAATATCGATATTGAATCTTTTTAATTTATAAATATGTTTCATTTATTTTTTTCTCATTATAAACCGGTGGAATGTTCTCTCTCTTTTCTGTTTCTTTCTTTCCTTTCTCCTTCCTTTTTATAAATTTTGCAAATGCTTTTTTTATATATCTGCCAAGGCTGCTTTTGTTTTAGCTTTCGCTTTCAAACATGATAATAACACAGTACTCTCACGCGTGCTTCTACAAAGTAATATATATTATATATTTATTTCCTTAATATATGCAAGATTTGATGAATACTTGCTCTTGTTTCGCTATCGCATGTTCATTCTATTCATACGACCACATTGTCCGTAATAGTATAAGTAGAATATAATATGACACTTTTTTCTGTATATGTAACTGTATTCACATATGTTGCAATTTGCAACTTTCTTGAGGTTTAATCATAATTATTTACCTAAAGGACTCTGCAAACTTTATGCTGAGAAAATAAATGGTCAAAAATGTTATTAAATTAATAACATTGCAATTCAATAATAAGTAAAGACACGATAATAATAAATAAGTTTCAAAATTGAATCATAATTACAGTAATTTATAAATAAAGTCTTGCTGTCCATAGGCAAATAATTTCTACTTTTACTGCCATTTAGAAACTATGCATAGTGAGATAATATTTTGTTTTTTCATATTCAATACTAAGAATTTTTATATTTTTTTTCAGTCTTATAAGCAATAAATCTCTTTTTCATAGAAAGATGTTCAATTAGATTTGTTTTTAAATGGCTTATCTTTTTTTAATTATTTTCGATTTTATATCATTATTTTATATTCCTCTGTACATTTGTAGTTTTTTGACTAATATCTTTTGTAAAATTTGTTATAAATAAGCCATAAGTTACTCAAAAGAAAAAAATATTTCCTATCTTTAGAAAGGAAATACTGTTCAATTAATCTATCGTGTCCAAAATGTCTCTTATCAAAGTAGATCTTATATAGCTAAACCTTACTTCCATTAAGGTTTATTACCTAAATGACTTTGTATATGCAAGCAGGATTTTTTTATTCTTTACTGAAATGGATTTCTTCTTAATTAAAGTGAATCTTCATACTGACTGTTTAATATGAAAAGCCATCTAATTTAAAATATATAAGTTATTAGAGCAATAAACTGCGCCGATAGGATCCTGTGCTTGCATTTAAACAGATGAAAAGTTATAATATAAATCTAATTATGCACTGTAGTTGATGCATGTTGAAGTCTTTCTAATTCCTCCAATGATAAAACATTTGTCTGGACAAGCTCTGGTAGCTTACCAGCTCGAGCTTGTGCAAGAAGTTCTGGACTAAACCATCGTGCCAATTGATTTGAAGTTGGTGAAAGATCTCCACCATTGCTACCCACGTATCCTAAACCTGGTGATGCTTGTCGACCTACGGGCATATTCAATTGCTGCGACCGCATTACTCGCCCATCTGTGAAAAATATTTGTCAGTGTTGATTTTGATAAAAGTGATATCAATGTATCGAAAAATGTAATGCCGTAATGTTTTGAATCGTATTAGTAAGGAAAAGAATAGCTTATATAATTTAAAGAAAAGACAGCCTAAATTAGCAGCGTTAGATGATTACTTTAATTTCGATCCAAAGATAAATGCTGTCTAGACGATTTAAATAAGAGGAACGGCTAAAATGTGATATCTAATTATTCCAATTTCTGAACACCATTGCATGCAATTTGATTAGACAAGAGGTAGACACCTGAAAATATTTTAGAATTATTAATTATAAAATTAATGTAACAGCTTCAAAACAGGAAACATTCTGTTCTTAGTAAACAAAATTATATTAGTAAATTATAAAACAGTAGTTATTAAATTTTCATCTCCATTTATGTCAATCTATAGAAAATGAATTATAACTACCTGCACGACTGGAGTTATAGTTTTGATTTAAGACCATTTGCATTTGTGAATTAAGAATCCGTTGTTGTTGTTGCGGTGGTTGATGTTGCATATTAGCTAGATGTGATGGAGCTTGTTGTATCTTCATTTGATTATTCATACTATTCGACCTTTGATTTATCATTGTATTTTGAGCAACATTGTATTGTGGAACATTATGATGTGCTATGGAACTAGTCATGGTATGTTTGGAGCGTGCAGGATTACCATACACGCTTGAAACCGTTCTATGTTGTTGTTGTTGTTGTTGTTGCTGTTGGAAATCTGAGTTTCCACCATATTGGAATTGATTACCACCATTACCACTACCACCACCACCACCACCTTTTACTATAGGTCGACCTACGATAATTAATATAAATATTATATTAAATATTTGTTTTAATAAGAATATTTAAATATGATAGAAAAAATTTAAATATTCATAATATTTAATATACCTGGATGTTGTTTTATAGTTGGATTTGACCAAGTAGATTGAACAGACTGTGGCCGTAAAGTATTATGTCGAGAAAGAACTCCTTGTGTCAATAATTGAACTGCAGATTGCATTTGTTGCATTTGAGATGTTTGCGATTGAGTTCCCAATTTCGATGGATCATTACTATTACCTATATAAAAATAGAAAATAAATTAGACAACATTATGAATTTAATAACTTATTTCTCCATTATATTATGAATACAAACTAATAAAAAAGATATGGCCTATCAATATATACAATACAATTAATATACACAATGAAACATGATGAAAAACGTTCAACAACAATCAAATTTTATCAAGATAAAATTGTAACAATTTTTATTTTATGTAGATCTATTAACAAATAAAATTAAACAAATAAGGATTTTTAAAAAATACGAACCATTATCTTTCATTTCATTCGAATTGTGTGAAAAGAAAAAAAAATATTGTTTCTTATTATATGCATTTCTTTTCCTTGCAATACATCATAAAAGCTTTAAAAATTTAAGCGCATGCATCAAAGTATAAAATTATCTTGTAACATTCCATTAAAGGAAAAAAGAAAATGTGTAAAGGAAAACTTAAAGCATGAAATATACTTATAAAGCGTTTTATTATAAAACTATTCCAACATACTTTCTCTCGTTATATGTTTATATATTAATCTATGTAGAAAAATATAATTTATAGTATTAATTGTATTTCTTCTTTTCTGTTTTTTTTAGTAATATTAATATTTATATTTGATATTAAAAAACTCAGTTTGTATAAGACTTTGTATAAAGACTCATATTATTTTTATATATAATTTGCAAACAAATACAGACAAATTAAATTTCAAACATATTAAAGGTGTCAAGCAAAAAGAAAGGAAAGAAAACAAAATTATCATTCCTCATTTTAATACAAAAATAAAAAAATAATATTACAATAGATAATAGTCACAAACTTATGAATTCTTTTTTCTGTATGAAGTTTCCGAAATATTAATAGTTTAAATCACAATTTCATCATTCTGTAAAATTGATATCTTATTTTCTTCTATTTTTTCTAATATATTATTATCGACTATTATCGTTTCGATTTCAAATTGCTCTGTTAATAGTTTGTCAAGAATAAGAGGACTATTATTATTATTAGTATCACTTATGTTCGATTCTTTATTAATATTTTCATTCAATAATTTTTTAGTTTCATAAACAAAATTTCCCTCTATTATGTTTAGATCCGAATTATTATTACTATCTTTTTGTTGTTGAAAAGAAGAAGAATATTTATCTTTTAATGCGGATTCTTCTACTTCTATGTTATTGTTATTGTTATTATTTAACTCATGTAAATTTTTCGAAGTGCCAATTTCAGATATACTACCATGCTTTATATGATTAGTAAGCTCAATTGCATTATCGTAAAAAGCAGATTTTTGCGTATAAATATTCTTTTTTAAATTAAATGCATTATGATAAATGTTATTATGATTTTCATTAATTGTGAATGAATATAAATAATTCGATTCTAGTTGATGATTAGACTGATTCGCACCCTCAGGTTCCTTATCGGCAGTCATTTTACGTAACACTGATGTCGGAGTAAAAGCAAGTGGTGTTGGACTCATAGTTTGTTTTGCTGGTGAGTTAACAGGACTTGATGCTCTTTGTTGAGCTTGTTGTTGTTGTTGCTGTTGCTGTTGATCTTGTCGCTTTCGGAAGTTTTCACGTTGTTCCTCCAACTTTTTCTTAATTAAAGCACTTTGCATTATAGATTGAGCATGCATAACAATTTCCCGCGGTGAAGGAACCCTATGCTGCATCACTGTTAAAATAATAAAAAATCGAGCATACTTTAAATGAAAAAAATGTTATCCTTAATTGCATTAAATTTTTATACAAAGCAAAATTTATAATTATAATTGCTTTATATCTATTTTTATAATCTATATTTTGTTGATTTATTTAATTCCTTTTCACTCATTTTTTTATATTTGGAACATTACTTAGTTATTATTAAATTATACTTAAATTTTATTTATAAATAATAAAATAAAATTGCAACATAAAAAAGACTTTTATTATTTTATCTACCTGGATGCTGTACTGTTAATGTACTTGGACTAGCAGTCAAATTTGGAGATATTATTGAAGGTGGACAATAAGCTGCATCCCAAACAACATCATACTATATTTATACTATGATTACATTATTTTATATATTTTTAACAAAAAAAATATATATATATTTAGCAATTTTTGATAATAAAATAAAATAATTCATAATTGATCACATAATTTTATATTAATTATTATAAAGAAACCAAAAATTTTAGATAATTAATGAAAAAAATTTGAAATAAAAAGAAATAATTTAATAATTTTATTAATAATAAAGATATATGAATATAATGAAAACAAATTTTTTTTATATAAATTATATTTAAATAAAAAAATAAATTTAACTCACCATTATTCATAGGAGATGGAATCCTTTGTTGTTGCTGCTGATATAACATTTGTTGCAAAATATGATCTTGAGGTGTAGGTGCACTAGGATGCGGACTTATAGTACGCGGCGTAGTGCCACCATACATTTTCAAAATATTTACTAAGACTTCCCTGTGACGATGTTGCATGGCTGGATTCTATTGTATCATTATTATAATTTAATGTATTAAAAATTCAAATATAAATTTTCTAATTAATAAAGCAAACCTGTAATTGCTGTATGAGATGTTGTCTAGTTATTTCTCCTTGTTGTAGACCTTGAATAATTGCTTGAGCTTCCGGTCTTTGGAGAAGTTCTTGACTTGTTGGAGCATTACTCAACATTATTTGCATTTCCGGAGGAACGGGACTCATACCTAACATTCGTTGACCACCCATCATCATAGATAACATATCTGAATGCTGTTGTTGTTGATGATGTTGTTTCTGTTGTTGCTATAAAAACAATTATATTTAGAAATATAATTATTTTTTTTTTATTATATTAGAATAATTTTCATTACTAACTTGAATCTGTAATACTTTCATTAAATTTTCATGTTGCATTTGTGCCTGATGTGGATGTTGAGTTGGCCCAAGAGAACCAACATGATTAAATGTTGTAGTATGCATTGGTTCCGGGACTGATTGTTGGGGAGCAATTGGTTGTGTTTTTAATTGTGAGTTAAGTAACTATAGAGAAAATATATATTATTTTAAATGAAATAAAATTTCTTCCGATGCCAAATAAAAAAATTATAAAAGTTATAAAGATCTCACTTGTATTAGTGTTACAGGTTGTTTTTGTGAAATAGGACCGTTTGCTGCTGGTATAGCCTGTCCTCCAGTTACTTGAGCAAGCTAAATATAATATTATATATATGGACACATATATACATTCGTGTTAATTATTCATGGAACATTGATCTTCTAGAAGATTGATTTTAAAAATTAAAATAAACATAAAAATTAATATATAAAAATCGGTTAAGATTCGGTCGGTTAAGATTTATTTATTAAATTATAAACAATTGAAATTTACATTAAATGGCATGAAACGAAAATAGAATAAGACTGTCTATTATTATATCAGCATTACATTCCCGATCCGCATTATTTAAAATGTTTTTAAGTGATATTTATTTGTATATTAATATATAGTTATATACTTATTAAGATATATACTTATTAAATAAGTGATATTTTTTTTATTAATATATCAATTTTTGTTTTAATTTTTAGAATCGATCTTTTAAAGATATCCCACAAATAATATATTAACATTCTGTATATATAATTGTAATATTTTATTTATTATATAAAATATATATTACCAATTTTTTAAACGCAGAGAGATCTTCTTCAGTCTTATTTACATGAGGTTGATCAGTCGAAGAAGTAGGTGGAGGAACGCCACCCCGCATACGTGCTTCTAATTCTTCAAGGCTATGCACAACTTTTCCACCAACTTCTGTAAAAAATTTTCAGTATTAAACATATATTAAAAAAATAAATAGTTTTATTGTAATTTATAATAATAATAATATTCTAAAATATAATAATAGTAATAAAAATTAAACAAATTCATATTCAAATTCTCACCCATATCTTTAATGGATGAACTTTTCATCATTGGTATAACAGTATTAGTTGCATCTCCTTGTCCATTTTGATTTGATTTGTTTCCACGCTGCAACATTTCTAGCAGCTTTACGCTAGTAGTGTTAGATGTAGTATTATTTGTTGTTGTTGTATTAGCAGGGGAAATGGGAGCAAAATATGTATTAGATTCTGTCACTGACGGAATTTGAATATTTGGCTCAGTAATATCATTAAGAAGATTGTTCAATATATCATCCTGTATAGAAGTTCTACGACTATCCACTTGTTGAACTGGACTTTCTCTTTTAAACCATTGACTAAATCGGGAACAAGAACCTCCATTTGAACCGACTCCATTCTATATAAATTAAATATACTTGAATATTTTATTGTTTTTATAATTATATAAATCTTCTTATATAAATCCAAAAATAAAACTTACAGTTAAAAGTCCAGGTACGCCAGGGAATGTATCAGATTTTAAAAATTCATCAAGATTGAAATCAGGATGACTATCCTCTTGGTTTTGATTAATAGTGCTAGAATTATCCGTTGTCTCACAACTTTGTTCAGTCATGGCACTCACATTAGAATCGTGATTAGTTTTTTGTACAAGAGATGATGATTCATTTTGTTCTGAAATCGGCGAATGGGGCGCGGCTACAACATTTAAAGATTGATCCATTGTAGTCGGTGTACTTCGTCCTTTCGGACCTGTTGAATTTTCGTTTTGCTTTTCATCTTTTTCCAATGAGTTTTTCTTTCCGCGCTTTTTCTGGACTGGAGTTTGTTTTTTATTTTTAGTATTGCTATTGTTATTGTTCACCGCTTTTTCTTCGGGGATATCTTCAAAACCTCTTAATTCAATAGTATCATGTTGAGATGTTGGTCCGGAACTAAACCATTCTGGTTCATCCGCATCACTACGATTTTCGCTATAAGTTCGTCTACGATCATTACTAAATCTTCGTTCGCGACCGCGATCCTTATCACGTTCCGATTGATGATTACGATCATTCCGTTCAGTTGCTCTATCTCGATCTCTTTCCCTTTCTCTATCACTATAATCACGACCAAAAGATCTTCTTTCGAACCGTTCATTTCTCTCATCCCGTTCACGCAAATTATCGCGATCACGATCTCTTTCTCTCGCATTCTCTCGATCTTTTCCATCACGAATATCCCTGTTATCACGATCACGCATAGAAGTACCACCTGCTCCAGATCGAAAAGCAGGTTCTAATTTCTCATTCTCTGGTCTAAAGTCCCATATATCGCGAGTTAAAATTCTACCGCTTCCAATTCGTCGAACAGGTTCTCTATGGCTAACCTATAAATCATTTTTTTGTTATATTATTACTTTGTTATAATTTTAATATTGGTATAGTTTTTAATATTTCAATTTTAATATTTCGAAATATACTTTTATATATGTATATAATCTTATTATATGATTTTAATAAATTTAATATTTCGTTTTAAAATTTATGTGACCTCTGTTTTTCCTATTGGACTTTCAGGACGTCGATTCGAAGGTTGATTCACGTTGACAAAACAACCTGAATTAAAACTTCTACGTTGAGGACTCAATACTATTCCATCTTGTTCCTTACGAATTCGTTCACGTGGATCTCCATTACGACGTTTATTATGATTTTCAGTAACTTGATCACCGCGTCCAGTTCTTTCATCTTTCGGTGGTG